TTGAAATAGATTACCCCTTTTTATTATTCAAGTAATCAGGTGTATTAGAATAGCCTTGTTAAGGAAACATGTTGCCAAGCTCCTGTTTCTAATGTCACTCTGGCAAAATCTTAATGGCAAATTGATTTCCTGTCTTAATGTGTCACTGATAATGTCTGTGTGATAATTATTTGGGGTGTSGTAAGATTCTCTGTGAATCATTATTGTGTGTATGTTGCTTCTATGGCAATATTTTTTAAACACCCTCCTCAGGAATGTGGTAGGCAAAGGCCATTTATGAAAATGTAATATCTACTTTAACAGTGACAAAAAGTTTTAAAATATTTGTTAAATCAGTAAGGTAAGCAGTGACTCAAAAGCAAGTAGTAAATTTACTTTACTTTTTTTTTGAAGCTGTGTAAATTATTCTTACCTGGTTATTACTGTACTAACTAACATTTTATTAATCATTAATTTTGAGGTAACACTTGTTTTGAAACAGCATTTTTTTTTTCCTTTTAAGTTTCTAGATGTAGAACTCAGTGGTAGAGCACTTGCCTACTATGCATGAGGCCCTGTTCAATCCCAGTACCACCAAAAAAGAATAAATAAAATAAAATAGTATCCATTTCACACTTTTCACTATTATAAAGGCTAATTTTTCTTACAGTCTAATACATTTAAGATCTGTTGATGTAATATCAATTCAAATTATATGGTTTGGGTTTTGTTGTGTTTTTTTTGTTTTGTTTTTTTTTTTTTTAGTAATTTAGGCCTTTTTTTTTAATGGATAGTTTTAGGAAGAATTATGGTTCCTTATAGTATTTATTCCTTTCCAAAGTGATTATTTCATATTTATAGATCATTTCTACCCCATTTTGTTCTAGAAAAGATATCATAGTTTAAATAATGTATTCCAGCCCAAAAGATAAAACAAATTTAAAAGAAGTTAAAAGAAAAAAACTAAGAAAAGGTACGAAGGGAAAATGGGCTTAGGAGAAGAGGGTTTAAGGTTGGTACACACGATACATACATGAAAGGATCTTTTAATTTGGTTTAAATTTAGTCAACAAACTTGCACATAATTCATAAACATCCCATACTTCCATTATAAACATCTCTTTTGACCTAAGAAATTTTCAAAGGAGGTAGGCTGGGAATAGGGAGAGGAGATAAGGTGAACAGAACCTTAGAAAGTGGGGAAATTTACACCCAATTCTGGTATAACTTTCAAAGGACCTATTTTCACTATAAGACAATAATTTGTAAAATTCGTATAATTCATAGAATTAAATAGGAACAAATTCTTCAAGGAAATTTCATTATTCTTCATATTGAAACCAAAGGATTCTCTCCTCTGATCCTCGATATAGGGTCATGTGGGTATTCTAAATGCTATTCACAACATTCTCWTTAGAACCAAATGAGTGGATTGTATACAGATTGGCAGAAAAGGGGTGAGAAGAATGGTATATGAAGTGGCAGACATGGTGGCACATACCTGTAATCCTACCTATTCAGGAAACTGAGATAGGAGGATCACAGTTTTGAGGCACACTGGGCAACTTAGCATGACCCTGCCTCAAAATTTAAAAAGAATTAGGGATGTAGCTCAGTGATAGCATGCCCCAGGATTCACTAGCCAGTAATGGGAGAAAAAAAAGTGGCATATGATAATGATAGAAGCCTCTGAAGGTGCTGAACAGGCCTCAATAACTCATGCTGTGAAATTAGAAGACTTGGTAGCAGGAATTCTGCTGGTTGATCCTTTTGGGAAATGAATAAACTTATTTTTTGCTTCAGATCTGTAGTAATCCACAGCAGTGCTAGACCATATTTTAAAAATTTATAATTTCATTGCAGTTTTTTTTAAAGGCTGATAAAAAAAATCATATCTACCTAATATCCCTGGTGAGTAGAAAGTGCTTTGAAGAGATACTAAAGAGAGGTTATATTTGTTAAATAATTATAGTGGGCACTTACTATATAGTTGGAATGTTTGTTTCTCCTCCAAACTTCATGTTGAAACTTAATCACCAATGCACCAGTATTTAGGGTGGCACTTTTAGGAAGTGATTAGGCCTTGAAGACTTTGCCCTCATAGCATCATTAGCAACCTTATGGGCTTGAGTAAGTGAGTATATCTCCTTTTGCCCTTCTGTGCCTTCTACTATGAGAGGAGACAGCATGCAATTCTTTATCTTGGAAGTAGAAATTGAGGCCCTTACCAGACACTGAACCTTCTGCTGCTTTGATCTTGAACTTTCCAGCCTCCATACTTTTGAGTAAATATAAACTTCTGGGTTTTTTTTTGTTGTTGTTGTTGTTGTTGTTGTTTTGTTTTGTTTTTGGTACCAGGGATTGAACCCAGGGGTGCTTAACTACCGAGCCACATCCCCAGCCCTTTTATATATTTTATTAGAGACAGGGTCTCACTGAGTTGCTTAGGGCCTCACTAAGTTGCTGAGGCTAGGTTTGTACTCACCTCCTCCTGCCTCAGCCTCCTGAGTCACTGGGATTGAAGGTGTGCACCACCATGCCTGGATAAATTTCTGTTCTTTATAAACTACCTAGTCACACGGTATGTTGTTACAGCAACACAAATGGGCTGAGATAGTACTATTTCTTCAATGTAAAAAAGATGCTTACAAACTCAGCCTGACATCATTTAATTAGTGGAGTGTTTTCCTCCTTGCTTAGTCTTGTCTGAACCCTAAATAACTAGCAATTGCTGGTATATATAAGGTAATAGAATTAATGTAAATACAAACTTTACAATTATAATCTTTCTCCAAAGATCTGTACATATTATATTATGAATGGCAGGAAACCCTCTTGAAAATTTTCTCATTTGTTTAGAAAAAAATAATGGTAATCTTGGTAAATTTAATCTTGGAGGATAAATTAAAAGAGCAGTTCCTTTTCAAATTAACCAATATAGATCTGCAAAATATATAATATTTTACTGAAATAAGAACTTGAAAGTGAAGATCCTAAAGTCTGAAAGCAGTTCCATGGTTATAAAAGTATATAAAATTCTTAATCACTTTCTAGTGTTTTAGCAATTTAATCAATATCTACTACCTGATTTCACTCTGACATATAATCAGAGGGATAAAATCTCATAACATTTGACTCTTTATTCTGTTATTTCTAATTAAGTCCTGACTTCAGTGAGTCACTTTCTGTAAAGATATCAGGCTATAATATAGGCATTAACCAGGTCCTTCCTCACACCTGTACATATGCACCCACACACTGTAGTAGTGTCTTTAATTACTAGTTCTGTTCACGATTTATCCTGTTCATGGTTTTAATGTTGACTGTGGCAGTAAGAATCAGAAAGTTTAGTACCATAGCAGGAGGGAGCTAACAAACTTTGGCATTTTAAATACTTTGAATATTTTTCCTGT